AGTTAAACTCCTTTCTCTTTCCACTGTAATTTTTTTCCAGTTAAGTGACATTGTAGTGAATAGGCATTTCAGAAATCTGGACAAGGGGAAATTAAGATGGGGGCACATCTAGAATTTAGTAGACTTATGTACGTGATTCACGATCACTACCATGTCTAGGTTATTGAAAGCCTTCTAGGTATAGGAATGGCTCCTAGGAAAACTCCCACTATCCTGATGCAACTCAGCATTAATCTGACATGGAAGTGCAGGGCTGAAGATCATATTACAAATTATATATTATGTCAATATTAGAAATATATAGATAATGTAGAAGAAACAAGATTTGAAATTTGAAATGTCTGGATCCAAGAGCTAGTCTGTAGAAAATTCTTCCAAATCTTACAGCTCCCAAGAAACTTGATACAGGTTTTCCAAAATTTTGGCAACAAACATAAAAGTTTATATGATATCCACCAATGATAGATGATTGACAGGTAGCAAAGAGAAAAGGGAAGTGAGGAAATAAGACTGGTTGGACCAGAGAGCTGGTGCTGGGAAATAGCAGGAAATCAGATTAGAAAGGTAGAACAAAGCTGAGCTTATACAGATCACTGATTTCCAAGATTTTCAAGAAATTGCTTCTATGGGTAAGTGGTATCAGAGAATATGGTGTATAGAAATTAGGTGATGAAGACAATATTGTAATAAGACCAGTACAGAGGCCGTAAGTAAAGGGATCAGAAAAGAAACGGAAGTGATGGACGTCATCTAGGTAGTATCATGGCACTATTAACAGAAATGGGGAGAAGAGCAAGAAGAAATAGTTTGGGGGTAAAGAGAATGAATTTATTATGGAAAATCTTCAGTTTAACCATGAGTTTAAATCTCTAGTTTGATCATGAAGCATGAAAATAATTTTTTTTTACAAAGCAGTGATAGGCACTTCATGTGGCAGGATTGGTAATTACAGAATAATTTGTAGCTGGTAGCACAAAGCGTTACATAGAAATGAAATACAATTTAAAGTGAGTCTCAAAAAATTAGAGGGGTAGGAAACTTTTGGAGGTTATAAATAAGTTTATGGCATAGATTTTGGTCATGGTTTCATGGATGTATACTTGTCTCCAAACTCATCAAGGTGTTTACGTTAAATATGTACAGCTTTTTGTATGTCAATCATACTTCAATAAAGTGGCTTTAAAATTAGAATCTCAGAGACATGGACATATATATACTAACAAACGTAAGGTAGATAGCCAGTGGGAAGCAGCCGCATGGCACAGGGAAACCGGCTCGGTTCTTTGTGGCTGTCTGGAGGGGTGGGATAGGGAGGGTGGGAGGGAGGGAGACAAAGAGGGAAGAGATATGGGAACATATATATATGTATAACTGACTCACTCTGTTATAAAGCAGAAACTAACACACCATTGTAAAGCAATTATACCCCAATAAAGATGTTAAAAAAAATAAAATAAAATAAAATAAAATTAGAATCTCAGCAAATTTCTCAAAGAATTACTGTTGGAGAGTAAAATTTCTAGGGGCAGAAGTGTGGAGGGGGAGATGCGACAGAGAAGGGGAAATGTTTGCTGGTGGCATAATTTTCATTTATCTTCATCTGTATTTGGATTTTTTTACAATTAGAAAATTTAAGCACCAGCATTTGAGATAAAAAAGCATACCACGTCACAATTTTTTTTTTTTTTGTACAAACAAAAACCCCACAGATCTAGGAAGTCTTTTCCAGCTCCTTAACATGGTTGTAAGGCCCTCTAATCTTCCCCTGCCTGCTTTTCCAGCCTCAACTAGCACCATTCTATCGCTAGGCTTTGGCTGTGCCATGCTCTTTTTACCTCTTAAGTTTTTACTCAATGCTGCTTTAAATTACTCTTAAACATCAGTACTGTGCACAGCTCCCTTCCAAACCGGTCCCATTTCAGATGGCTGCTGTGTTAGAGAGGTCTTCCCCAAACCCCCCCGCCCAACCATGCTGCACAGTATTCTTTACTTTCCGGATTGTAATTTTCTGTTTACTTTTGTTCTTCCCTACATATAATCTGGGAATAAAGATCATTCTGTGTCCTGATCACCAATGTATCCCCAGTGACTAATTAATTAGTATGAGCTTGGGAAATGCATGTTGAATGAATGGATGAATAAATTTCAAAATAGATTGTATTCAACTTTGAGGAAATTGCTAGACTCAGATATATTTTTCTAGGCCAACTGATAAAAGGTAATTTAACAATGTTTTGATGGGAAGAATGCCTTCAGAGCCTGAGAACATGTCACCCACTTTAGCACTGGCAACAGAAGAGGGAAATGCCTCCTATTCCAAACCTTTAAAAATGGTTCCCATAATCTAGAGCAGTACTGACAGGGCAGGGACTAGTGGAACAGTGGAGACTAGTGGAGAGTAGATACTGGAAAGAAGGTGAAGAAGGAGTCAGGAAGTGAGATGTGAGGAAGAGGGGACAAGTTTTCTACTTCATATTTGAATTGGCTTTCTGTCATCTCTATAGTTTTTCTTTTTTAAATTCTATCAGACTATTCCACTTGCAACCCTTTCTTGTTGTAGTATATATGTATTGATTGATTGATTGCTGCGTCGGGTCTTAGTTGTGGCACCCAGGATCTTGTTGCAGTGCGCGGGCGTTGTGGTGCACAGGCTCCAGAGCACGTGGGCTCTATAGTTGTGGCCCTCGGTCTCTCTAGTTGTGGTGCATGGGCTCAGTAGTTGTGGTGCGCGGGCTTAGTTCCCCGCAGCACGTGGGATCTTAGTTCCCCGACCAGGGATCGAACCAGTGTCCCCTGCATTGCAAGATGGATTCTTAACCACTGGACCACCAGGGAAGTTCCTCTATATTTTCTTATGAAACTCCACCTTCCTTTTTTCTTTTTATTGTCATAAATTATGGCTTCCAATTAGGCTATTTCTCTTTCAGTGGTTAATTATAAAACAGATCTGAACCTAGACTCATAGTTTCCTCCCTTATAGGTACTGCTTAATAGACTTAATTTTTTTAGAGCAATCTTAGGTTTACAGAAAATTGAGCAGATAGTACAGACAGTTCCCATATGCCCCCTTTGTCCTTTCCTGTTATTAACATCTTGTAGTGTGGTACATTCGTTACAACTGATGAAGTGATACTGATATATTAACTAACATCTTGAAAGAATGGAATACTGACATAGAAACTTGAAGATAGCTTCTCATTGTCTCTATTTAAATGGATTAGGAAAGAGTACACAAATATTTATGAACCAGATGCCAGAATATTAAGTTAAATCTATGCTTATTTTGTATTTTGCCATCATTTTAAGTCTAAGTCTATTTGCTAAGAATGTTGAAGAACTTTCTTATAGTACTGAGAGATCCATTAAATTAGTTCCAGACACTTGTTTATTTCTATGCTTGTGGCATAGAAAACCACATTCGTTAGAAAATCTCTTATTAGAAAACTTTCACTCACAGTTGTAAACTTGTGTATACAGGAGTTTGATTTTTACCTTTAAATTTGAAGAATACATGGCATATATTAGGTATCCAATCTGTATACAAATTTATTGAGTTAAATAATGGATTGAATTAATACTTAAAAATTCATTTTGACCTTACTGATCTGTCTCTCTCTCAACCAGTATAAGAGAATTATACATATTTCCTTAAAATTAGAACTATAATAAAAGATATTTTCTTATTGTGAAATATGTTTACAATTAAAATCTAGTGATCCTAACAGATTAACTTTTAAAATACGGTGCATGTTATGGGCTGCATTTTGTCCTCCCCCACGCCAAATTCATATGTTGAAGGCCTAAACTCCATTGCCTCAGAATGTAACCATATTTGAGACAGAGCCTTTAAAGAGGTGATTAAGTTAAAATGAGGCCGATAGGGTGGGCCCTCATCCAAACTGTCGAATGCCTTTCTAAGAAGAGATTAGGAAACATGGGGAGACACCAGGGGTACAAGCACACAGAGGGACAGCCACGTGAGAATATGGTGAGAGGGTGGCCAACTGCAAGCCAAGTAGAGAAGCCTCAGAAGAAACCAGCCCTGCCAACACCTTAATCTTGGGCCTCCAGAAGTGTGAGAAAATAAACTTATGTTTTTTAAGCCATACACACACAAAATACAATATGTTTATCTGAATTTGCCTCACTAGTAGAGAGCTGACTATTCTACCTACAGTAAGTTACAATCCATCTATATGAATTTAGCATACCAGTTAACAAAGAAAACAGAACTCTATCTAACCTACCATGCCATATATGTGTTCTTTTAAAATAAAATCCCTTATCCTATATATTAATAAAATTATTTTTACTTAATAAATGTTTTTCAGATAACTTTTACTCTCTTTTCTATATATGAAAAAACTATTGACCAGAATAAATTTTAAAATACTCAAAGGAATAACAGAAGGAATCACACATCTCTTCAAAAGGAAAAAGACAAGTCAAGTAGGAGGAGAATACAACATATACTTTAGCAACAATACTCATAACATGGGTCAAATTCTCTAGGTACTAGGATAAAAAGGGAAGAAATTGTGTGGCATGGCTTCAAAACAAGATGGGCACAGATTATCAAAGAATTCAGAAAGCCACCTCAAGTCAGACTGCTTCCAACTTAATCATCTGAGTTCTTTAAGGATGATGTAAAACACTCATAGGCTCTGATCTGGCATGTAACTTTGGAGAAATGCTTCAATTCATTAAAAATTTTAAACTTTCGCTTTAAGGCTTTCCTAAATGCTTTTCAGAAACTTATTTCCCAAGGCATTGTTTAGGTTGGGAGTTCCACAATTTATTACCATAGAAATGGTTGACTATTTTGCCCTGCAAGTAAGCTGCAATACTTGGGATAGTATATGATTTATAAAATTCTTAATAGTTCCTATTATACAGAATACTTAAATCTTTGCTCCAGATCAATACAAATTAAATGTTTTAAAATACCATATATTTAAATTTGAAAAAGTAGCAATGACGGAATAAATAAAAACTCTTACCACTTGGCAATACCATGACTGGCTCTGTAAATCTTTGTTCATCTGCTGAAGGTAGGTTTAGGGAGATGATTAACACCATTCCCAGACTAGTTCCAACAAACAAACAAGGGGAGATAGTACAGTCATTTTTCCGAACAAAGGACTCCATGAAGTATAGTGCTGTAATCGCTTCTTTAGAATCTTTGTCAATACTGGAGATGCTAGAGCTTCTAGAGCGATTATAGGAATTTTCTCGACTTTCTATGGAAATTTAAAAACCAAAAATTTAGTTTTAGTGTGTTTCCAGAACAAGTAAAGTCAAACTTAGTAGGTGAAAACCAAAATTATGGGGGAGAAGTAGAATTTGATTCGTTGTTAACTGATCTGTAAGGCAGTTTATCCAGTTCACCAGCTTATTTTGAAGACGAAGAGACAAGTCCAGAAGTGTAAATCATAAACTTAGGAAGAGCTGGGACTAGACCTTGAGTCTCCAGAGTTCCAGTCCACTGTGTTTTTCTCTCTACCTCACCTTACAAGTTAGTTGAAATTCTCTAATCTAGAAAAAAAAGATGTTTAGTCTAAATAGTTAAGGTTACAAGAACTTCTGGTGCAGTTTTAATTATGTTTCCCTCCTATCTCTCAATTGTTGGAAGTACTTCTAATGATTTCTTGACAATTCCCACTTACTGACAACATTGTGGCTACTTACCTGAAGGGTCACAAATGTTCTGTGGTAAATACATTCCTCTGATTTTGTTATATTTGGAGTAATTAAAATTGTAAAAATTGAACTATTTATATTTACACCAAGACTAAAGAGCAAATGTTATCTCCCTGAACTAGTTACAAGCTGCCTACTTTGAATCCAAATACAGTCTTGGCTTTGCCTAGGGCCAAATACAGAGTTGGAGACAATGCCACCCCACCGATAATCTTTCTGAGAGGGCTTCAGCCCACTTAAAGGAAACAAGGTGGTTTCAGGCTCTCCTGCTCATCAACTCTTACACATGTGTACACTCCAACAAGCAGAAACTCACCACCTCAGGTAAATATTAGGAAGGTTGTGTTGTTCATATAATCACTCCAGAGTACAAGTTCCTCATATTCCTCTTTCTACTGCCTTCCCTCTCCTTTCCTTTTTGATAGGTATAAGTGTGACTCATTTTTATAAAAAGAGATAATATAATATATAAATAAAATAATATACAATAAAACCAAATATAAGTTCCCCAGACTATCCCTTTTTCTACAAACCAAAATATAATATTCCTAATTTTCCCCTTCTATCCCTCAGCAAGTTTATACAAATAATTGTTTGTAATAGAATTTAGATCTGAGAGGGAGCTTGGATATAATCTATATATTTTACAGATTTGGAGACAGAGACATAGAGTTAAGTAATTTTCCCAGAATCAACAAGTTAGAGGCAGAAATGTCTAAAACTCAAAATTCCCAATTCAATCCAGTGATTAAAAGTACTACTTCCTTTATAACCTTTACATTTTGCTTCCATTATAACATTCCTAGCTAATGTTTCTAGGTTGCTATTTATGGGCACCTGTGAGAGAAGATCATCTGGACCAGATTTAGTATGGCATAGTGTTAAAGGAAAAAACTAAAAATTTTCTTTTCTTACTTGGCCAAGCCGCATGGCATGTGGGATCTTAGTTCCCCAACCAGGGATCGAACCCATGCTCCCTCCAGTGGAAGTGCAGAGCCTTAACCACTGGACCACCAGGGAAGTCCCTAAAAATTTTATTTTAAAAATTTGAAGAATAATATAGATCATTACTACCAAGTTTTCTGAGGGGTGGTAATGGTGAATTACTTTATAGCATAGAATTACCATAGCACATTCCTAAGATTATTTTTTCCTATTTCTAGTCCCAAAGCTTTTTATCAGCAAGACAATAGCAGCAGTTACAGGACTCCCTTTGTGTGTGTGTGTGTGTGTGTGTGTGTGTGTGTGTGTGTGTGTGTGTGTGTGTCTTAATTTTAGGCCTTCTGGCTCTTGTACTTTACTCCCTGCCCCTAACAGTAATTCCATAAGTAAGCAAATAATCCTCCCTTTTTCAAACATATGAAGATGAGACTGCAAACTTTAGAATTTAATGTCTTCCCTTTTTCTTGGTCACATTCACTTAACAGTTAAGGAAACTAAGGTTATAAGACTTTAAATAACTATCTACAGATAGAGACACTAAGAGGCTTACCATTGAGATGGAAAGAAACTGGGAGTGCAGATTAAGACATAGGTCTCACTTTGTACAGAGAAGGTGAAATCCTACTCATAAACAGCCATTCTGGTTTTAGAGATGCAAGCCATTCTGGTAGTGAGAAGTGGATTTGGAGTCATGGCCACTGCTCGACCAGGTTCTCAGCTGCTCACTGTCTAGTTGACCATAGTTTTTCAGATCTTTCACACCTGACCACCATCCCTTATCCTCCAGCTCCTGTTACTGTGGTATGTCAAATTTTAATTGTATCCACAAAAATTTGTATGTTTAACCTACCTTCTGTTGAAACTGGCAAAGAAACCTCCATGCAAGCAGCTGACTGTGCTTTTCGAAATGGTGGTCTTCCAGGACCCCAGCGATTTATTTTTGAAACATCAGCACTGGAAAGACGTTTTCCAGAACTGCAACTCTGAGAAGTTGGACTTGTGCAGTGTCCATTTACATGATCTGTACCAAGAGGAAGAAGGCAGCATAAATATCATAATTAAATCTTAATATAAAGGAATCTGAGTGTGTAGATTAATAAATGAAGAGAATTCCTTTTTTCAAGACATATAAAGATGGCTAAGTCTGTGCTATTTTAGTATTTAGTCACAATTTCAATTTTGCCAAAATATTTAGCCAAATTTTTCATGATATTTATTAAATATGATTCATTTTTAAAATTTGACTAGTTAACATAGTTTAAAATTTATTCTATGTCCTCATTATATATTCTGCCATTTAATAGCAATAAAAAATAGGTTATAGTATTAGACTTTCTTTTGCATAATTTTTTTTTTTTTTTTTGCGGTACGCGGGCCTCTCACTGTTGTGGCCTCTCCCGTTGCGGAGCACAGGCTCCAGACACGCAGGCTCAGCGGCCATGGCTAACGGGCCCAGCCACTCCGCGGCATGTGGGGTCTTCCCAGACTGGGGCACGAACCCGTGTCCCCTGCATCGGCAGGCGGACTCTCAACCACTGCGCCACCAGGGAAGCCCTCTTTTGCATAATTTAAATATATACCTGTTTATATAAATTTTGGAAGAACTTCAAGTGCTTAGAGTTTAAAATATAGAATGGAAGCATTTTACTGTGAAGTTGAGAATGGTACATAAGAATACTGACCCTACAGCTAGACTGCCTGGGCTCAAATCCCAGTTCTACCACCTACTAGTTGTACAAATTATTGAAGACTTCACATTTTAGTTCCTTTTGTAAATTGGGACTATTATTATCTAGCTCAGGGATTTTTTGTGATAACACATGTCACATGCCAGAATACTTCCTGGTATGTGGTAAACTCTGAACAAAAATTAATTATTACTGTCATTCTTGTTCCAGAGTATTAAAACTGCTCAGGTCTAAGACAAAATAGTACTGTTTATTTAGAGCCTGTGAGTTTAGCTCAGTTCTGGTATAATTTAAAAACTTGGAAATAATTGCACTAAAATGTTCTTAATGCTAACACACAGTATTTGAAACACAGTCTCATAGTTCTACAATATTCAGAATGCATTTTAAAATGTGCTTCTTTGGTTACTCAAAGGACAATAAATAGAGAAGAATCATGTTTAATGTCCATATTGGACATGGGGAACTGGCACTCAGTGTCCCCTCCATTATAGGCTTTAGGTATTGAACAATTTGAAAACTTAAAATTATACATTCCCTGGATCCCCTTGCAGCTAGTGCAAAGATGAGAATTAGGTTTCAGTATTTAAATGCTCTAGTGTGTTTTACTTTTTTTTTTTTTTTTTCGGTACGTGGGCCCTCTCACTGTTGTGGCCTCTCCCGTTGTCGGAGCACAGGCTCCGGACGCGCAGGCTCAGCGGCATGGCTTACGGGCCCAGCCGCCCCGCGGCATGTGGGATCTTCCCGGACCGGGGCACGAACCCGTGTGCCCTGCATCGGCAGGCGGACCCTCAACCACTGCGCCACCAGGGAAGCCCTACAGTGGGTTCTTATTAGTTATCTATTTTACACATATTAGTGTATATATGTCAATCCCAATCTCCCAGTTCATCACACCACCACCCCAATACCTCTGCCCATTTTTTAAATCAGATTGTTTGTTTTTTGTTACTGAGTTGTATGACCTCTTTATATAGTTTGAATATTATCCCTTATAAGATATATGATTTGCAAATATTTTCTCCCATTCTGTAGGGTGACTTTTCATTTGTTGATGGTTTCATTTGTTGTGCAGAAGCTGTTTTAGTTTGATGTAGTGTCAAATCCCCAAAAAAAATTAATGCTAAGACTGATGTCAAAGAGCATATTGCCTATGTTTTCTTCTAGAAGTTTTAAGGTTTCAGGTCTTACATTCAAGTCTTTAATCCATTTTGAGTTGCTTTTCTGCATGGTGTAAAACAGAGGTTAAGTTTCATTCTTTTGCATGTAGCTGTCCAGTTTTCCCAGCACCAGAATATTTTGAAAGAGAGTACTTTCCCTATTGTATACTCTTGGCTTCTTTGTTGTAAATCAGTTGACCATATATGCATGAATTTATTTCTGGGATCCCTCTTCTGTTCCATTGATCTGTGTCTGTTTTTGTGCCAATACCATATTGTTCTGATTGCTATAACTTTGTAATAGTTTGAAACCAGAAAATGTGATGCCTCTAGCTTTGCTCTTCTTTCTCAAGATTATTTTGACTCTTTGGGGTCCTTCGTGGTTCCATACAAATTTTAGGATTGTTCAATTTCTGTGAAAAATACCACTGGAATTTTCATAGGGGGTTGCATTAAATCTGTATGGACGTTTAAAAAATATTAATTCTTCTAATCCATGAGCACGGAATATCTTTCCATTTATTTGTGTTTTATTCAATGTCTTTCATTAACATCTTATTTTTAGTGTCTAGATCTTTCAACTCCCCGGTAAAATCTATTCCTGGATATTTTATTCTTTTCTTAACTTCTCTGATAATTTGTTGTTGGTGTATAGAAAGATAATTGACTTCTTTGTTTGTTTGTTTGTTGCGGTATGCGGGCCTCTCACTGTTGTGGCCTCTCCCATTGCGGAGCACAGGCTCCAGATGCGCAGGCTCAGCGGCCATGGCTCCCAGGCCTAGCCACTCTGCAGCATGTGGGATCTTCCCGGACTGGGGCACGAACCTGTGTCCCCTGCATCAGCAGGTGGACTCTCAACCACTGTGCCACCAGGCAAGCCTGTAATTGACCTTTATATATTGATTTTCTATCTTGGAATTTTGCTGAATTTGTTGATTAGTTCTAACAGTTTTTGGTGGAGTCTTTGTGGTTTTCTATAAAGATTATGTCATCTGCAAATAGAGAAAGTTTTACTTCTTCTATTCTGATTTGGATGCCCTTTATATTTCTTGCCTTATTGCTCTGGCTAGAACTTCCAGTATTATGTTAAATGAAAGTGGCGAGAATGGGCATCCTTGTCTTATTCCTGATCTTGGAGGAAAGGCTTTCAGCTTTTCCCTTCTAAGTACGATGTTAGTTGTGGCCTTGTCAATTTATGGTCTTCAGTATGTGTTGAGGCACATTCCCTCTATGCTCTCTTTGTTGTGAATTTTTATTAAAAACAGATACTGAATTTTGTCAAACGTTTTTCCTGCATCTATCAAGATGATCATATAATTTTTATTCTTCATTTTGTTAATATGATATATCACATTAATTTGCATATGTTGAAACATCCTTTCATCCCTGGAATAAATTCTACTTGATCATAAGATCCTCTTAATGTATTGCTGAATTTGGTTTGATAATATTTTGTTGAGGATTTTGTATCTATGTTCATCAGTGATATTAGCCTGTTATTTTCTTCTCTTGTAGTGTCCTTTTCTGGTTTTGGTATCAGGGTAATATTGGCCTTGTAAAACGAGTTTGGAAGTGTTCCCTCCTCTTCTATTTTTTGGAAGAATTTGAGAAGGAGTGTTATTAATTCTTTTAATGTTTGGTAGAATTGACCAGTGAAGAGGTGTTTGATTACTAATTTAATCTCTTTACTAGTAACTGGTCTGTTCAGATTTTGTATTTCTTCATCACTTGGTCCCAGGAGGTTGTATCTAAAAATTGATCTATTTCTTCTAGGTTCTCCAATTTGTTGGCATACAGTTTTTCATAGTAGAATGTTACGATTCTTTGTATTTTTGTGGTACCAGTTGTAACATCTCCTCTTTCATTTCTGACTATTTATTTTAGTCCTCTCTTCTTTGAATCTGGCTAAAGGTTTGTATATTTTGTATTTTCAAAAACCAGCTCTTTGATCTTTTCTACTGTCTTTTTAGTCTCTATTTCATTTATTTCTGTTCTGATCTTTATTTCCTCCCTTCTACTAATTTTGGGCTTCATTTGTCCTTCTTTTTTCCAGTCCTTGAGGTATATTGGGTTGTTTGAGATTTTGTTTCTTAATGTAGGCATTTATCACTATGAACTTCCCTCTTAGAACTGCTTTTGCTGCATACCAGAAGTTTTGTTATATTGTATTTCCATTTTCATTTGTGTCACGAGATTTTAAATTTTTCTTTTGATTTATTTGACACATTAGTTGATTTTCTGTCTGGATGAACTGTCCTTTGATGAAATTGGGATATTCCCCTACTATTTCTACTGTTGTCTATTTCTGCCTCTATAACTCTTAATACTTATTTATTTATTTTTAAGTTGGGCTGGCCAAAAAGTTCATTCAGGTTTTTCCATAAGCTGTTATGGGAAAACCCAAATGAACTATTTGGCCAACCCAATAAATCCATTCAGCCACTCTTTGTCTTTTCATTGAATAATTTAGTCCATTTGTATTTAGAGAAACAACTGATAGGTATGAACTTACTGCCATTTTGTTAATTGTTTTCTGGCTGTTTATAAGTGCTGCTTCTTTCTTCTCTTGCTCTCTTCCTTTGTGATTGGATCCTTTCCTGTAGTGGTATTAGATTTCCTTTCTCTTTTATGTATATAATATAAGTTTTTGCTTTGTGGTTACCATGAGGCTTATATAAACCATTATTTTAATTCCTTAAAACTTGATGTATTTTTTGACACATAACATTGTACCTCTGTGTCCATGGGTTCCACATCCATGGATTCAACCAACCACGGAACCCTCAGGTATGGAGGGCCAACCATACTATGACATTTTATAAAAAGGACTTGAGCATCTGCAGATTCTGGTATCAGCATGGAGTCCTAGAACCAATCCCCCAGTGATACCAAGGAACAACTGTATTAGTTTTAGGTATACAAACATATTTATAACAGTCTATTTTAAGTTCATAACAACTTAAGTTCAAATGCATTCTGAAGCTGTACATTTTTAACCTCCCTCCCACATTTTGTATTTTTGGCATCACAATTTACATCTTATTATCTTGTGTATCCTTTAAGAAAGGATTTTAGCTATAGTTATTTTTACTACTTTTGTCTTTTAGCCTTCATACTAGATTTATAAGTGATTTACCCACCTCCATTACAACATTAGGTTATTCTTAATTTTA